CGGTCAGCTGGAACTTTACATTCCTCAGTTATGGTGAGAACACGCTCAACTTTATTTCGTCCTGTGACTGACAGCATCAGATCTTGCAACCAATTCACGCCAATCCCAAAATGATTTGAGTACCCTTTAACCGCGGGAACCTTCGTGAGGCATAGAGTGGTTTGATTAGTTCTTGTCCTACCCCGGTCTGGAAGCGTGTGCAATTTCGGGCTTGTGAGTGTGCGAGTAAATGAGTTCACGTGTACGCAAAGCAACAAAATTAGCAGTAACAGCTCCATGCACTTATAAGGTCATCCGGTTATGATGGTCCCTCCATTCCGACCATCATTCCGGTTTAGAGGGTGTCGGACACACGTTTGGTTGGATTTATGAACTTTCTTTCATCAACCCAAAAATGAAAGAATGCATGACTGGAGATGAAAGCATGACCAATCAAAGACCAATTGACTTACCTGCCATTTTGATATCAAATGTACTCCCTAATCTGTCGAGTTAAAATGCCATTCTAATGACAACGTCGAATGCATCGAAGACAACATCATCCAGAAGGTTCCAGTAAAGTCAAGCAAGCGCTTGCCAATACGAATGTGCCGTCTTCTTCCGATGGGATCGGGGCTCGAATCTCTTAATAGTACACCTTCACTAGAACCGGAAGTGGACTCAACAATCGCCACCCAAGAGGATCATTAGATGGTGATTTTTTTTGTGTATAATTAAATAATTCATGGCAACATCCAGCAGCGTCTGTCCAAACGAATACATTCAGGGAAGGAGACTTGAAAGTGTCAAAATGTTCACTTGAAGATGCCTACAATTTGCCTCCCACCCTCATTCCTCTCGGTCCCGTCGTTTCTACACTCTCCTGCCTGGCCTGTGAAGAAGCCATGACGGACCCAAAACTCCCATCCTCTTTCAAAGGGCTAACCAGAGCCATGCTGAGGCGCGTTTTCGTCTCCGCCTCCCGTCGGCCCGGACGGCGCCAGGGCTCGTCGACCAGGACCGGATTGTCCGAGTCCCAGGTGGGCACGAACTGGCGTCGGCCAGTCTCGCCGTCCATGTCCTCACCGGCAAGACGGGCGGCACGATGGTACCGAAGACAATGGCGTTCGATGTCCACCCTGAGCCGGAGGTCGCCGAGCTCGATTCTACGCCGAAGTTGAGCTCGGTACTTGGCATACACGTCTGACCACAAAAGGTGGAGGAGGGAAGGGGATACACGAAATGGTACCTTTTTTATGGAAGCAAACAATCGCTTGAGGCTTTGCGTGAGTGAAGTCAACTGGCGTCCTACTTGGACGAATCATCGTGACGAGATTTGGTACAATCATCAACAATTTGCCTCCGA